TTTTTTTCCTGGTTTATGATTTATTTTTCCTTCTTTTTTTAATTTTTTTTGGAGACAGGTTCTCACTTCGTTGCCAGGGCTGGCAGTGGCAAGTGGCAGATGGAATTTGGCTCACTGCAACCTGCACCTCCCCTTGGCTCAAGCGCAATCTTTCCTACCTCAGCCTCGCTGCAGCAGCTGGGACCATAGGCGCGTGAACCACCACATCAATAATAATTTTTCAATTTTTTTAGGGACAGGATCTCACTAATTGCGAGACTTGGATTCTCGAACTTCTCTATGACTCAGGCCAATCCTTCCGCCGTTCGGTCTTCCCAAGTGCTGCTGGGTGTCCCCCTTGAACACCCTGCCCCAGGGCAGATCACTGTAGCTCGGTTTCCCAGAGCCCTGACTGGCCTTGGTCCACTGCTGCTTGGAGGCAGAGCTGGCCATGACCCTGAGCAAAGCACAGGCCCCTCCCCCTTGTCCCTTCAGTGTGTGCTGGCTGTGTTCCCCGTCATCTGGGAAGACAGCCACATTCTCCCAGCACTTGCTTCACATCTTGCAACATAAGATAGTAGTTGCTAACATGGCGCCCTTCATCCCTGGGTGCTGTCTAGCTGTATACCAGGCACGGGCAGCCTCACCCAGCTCACATCAGCGAGACCTTGGGGCCTCTGTTGTGGACCCTGGTGTTTGACTTCCTCCTGGGAATCTGATCATTATTCCAAGCTTTCTGCCCTCGGGTCTTTTTTGTTGTTTGGTTTTTTGTTTTGTTTTTGAGAGATGGAGGCTCGCTCTGTCGCCTAGGCTGGAGTAGAGTGGCATGATCTCGGCTCACTGCAACCTCCGCCTCCCGGGTTCAAGCAGCTCTCCTGCCTCAGTTTCCCAAGTAGCTGGGACTACAGGCGTGCACTACCACACCCAGCTAATTTTTGTATTTTTTAGTAGAGACTGGATTTCACTATATGTTGGCCAGGTTGGTCTCGAACTCCTGACCTCAGGTGATCTGCCTGCCTCGGCCGCCCAAAGTGCTGGAATTACAGGCCTGAACCACCGCACTTGGCCTGTTGTTTGTTTTTGAGATGAGGTCTTACTCTGTTGTCCAGGCTTGAGTGCAGGGTTGCAGTTTTGGCTTACTGTAGCCTCGACTTCCCAGACTCAGACAGTCCTCTCACCTCAGCCTCCTGAGTAGCTGGGACTACAAGCACATGCCACCATGC